AAACTGGACATCCTTCCACAAGGGTCCAGCAAACCGAAATGGTAGACTGCTAGAGGATATGCTGTTGGAGCGACAGCTAGAAATCACAAACACCAGATTTCAGAAGCGAAGATGTAAACTCTGGACATATCTCTCAGATATGAGTCAAAGTAAATCTCAAATCGACTTCATCATTTGCCGGAAGAAATGGCGGAACTCCGTCAAGAACTCCGAAGCATATGGTAGTTTCCACAGTATTGGCTCGGATCACAGAGTAGTCGTAGCAAGGGTAAAGCTTAGTCTACGGATAAGCAAGACGGAGAAGAGGGCTCCGGTTCTGGACTGGTCTAAACTTAAAACTGATATCGCTCTACAAGAGAGGTACACAGTGGAAGTTAAAAACCGCTTTTCCATACTTGAAAAGGATGATCAGACGGCAACAGAAAGGTACCAATGCTTTATTGATGCGAATAGGACAACTTCTCGACTTTTACTACCTGAAAAGGAGAAAAAGAAAAGATGTAAAATCTCAGCGACTCCAAGTGTTGAGATTGCCAGGCTGAAGCTGAGGGAATGTAGCATAAAATACCACTCAGATGCTACAGAAGACAACCGAATAGCTGTTCAAGAGGGCAAACAGAAGCTAGGCGATGCTTATCAAGCAGCCAAAGAGCACCTGCTGGAGGGGCAGGTCCGGGAACTGGAGGAAGCAAGTTGGCAGGGCAGACATGCTAAAAGCTGGACCATGATCAACAAGATCACAGGTAAAGCTCCATCATATACTGGCAAAATCAAGGGAAACTCACCAACGGAAAGGGTTCAGAAATGGAAGGACTATTTTGCTACTCTTCTCGGCTCACCACCGACGGTAGAGAACGCGGAAGAGGATATTGATCCAGTCCACCCACCTCTGAATATCGGAACAGAACCGTTTACGTTGGATGAGTACAGGAAAGCAAAGTCCAGCATAAAGGAAGGGAAAGCATGGGGTGACGACAACATAGCCCCAGAAGTCTTAAAACGATGCGACCTTGATCTAATTGTCTTAGACTTCTGTAACAATGCTCTATTGAAAGGTGAGAAACCAGACCAATGGTCAACTGCCAACATCATACCAATTCCAAAGAAGGGCGACCTTAGCGAACCAATGAACTATCGGGGAATAAGCTTGTCATCCCTAGTTGCCAAGTCTCTAAACAAGATGGTTCTAAACCGGTTGAAGCCAGAAATCGAGACAATTCTGCGTAGAAACCAGAATGGATTCAGACCAGGAAGGTCAACAACTCAACAGATATTGGTACTGAGACGTCTTATAGAGGGTGTCAAGAGTCGGAAACTGCCAGCTGTTCTGACATTTATAGACTTTAAGAAGGCTTTCGACAGTGTACATCGTGGGAAAATGCTAAAGATTCTAGAAGCTTACGGCATTCCAGTCAAAATCGTGCAGCTTATACGGCTCATGTACGAGAAGACAATGGCCTTGACATACGTTGCATGCCACTTTTCGCGCGCGAAGCGCGCGCCGCCGATACGAAACATGTATCAACAATTGGATACGAAACATGTATCAACAATGGCCAAAGTCCTAACTCCAGACGGAGAAACTGAATTGTTCGAGATACTTGCAGGTGTGTTACAGGGTGATACCTTAGCACCTTACCTCTTTGCAATAGTCATCGACTACTGTATGAGGCAAGCCATAGGCGATGATGCGGAGCGACTTGGACTCACCCTCGAACGTAGAAAAAGCAGAAGAGTGGGGCCCAAGATCATCACCGATGTGGACTTTGCAGATGATATAGCACTTATATCTGAGGACATGGACAAGGCTAACGAGTTCCTGCTCAGAGTAGAATCGGCGGCAGCAAGCGTGGGACTACACATAAACGAAGGCAAGACCAAGGTCATGACACTGAATATGGAGGATCGATCTAGCGACCTACAAAGTCGATCCGGGGAAGCCATAGTATAGAAAATGTAAATGATTTCATCTACTTAGGCTCCTGGATTGAGAGCACAGATAGGGAGGTAAGGGTTAGAAAGGGAAAAGCGTGGGGTGCCCTACATAGACTGAAGGATATCTGGAAATCCAAACTGTCAAAGAGCCTAAAGATTAGATTGTTCATAGCGGCTTGTGAATCAGTACTGCTCTACGGATCAGAAACCTGGACACTGACAAAGGCTCAAGAGAAAAGTTTGGACGGGACATACACAAAGATGTTGCGTATGGTGCTGGGTAATGGTATCTCATGGAAGGACAAGGTCAGCAATATAACTTTGTATGGTAGCCTCCCAAGGCTGTCAAACAAGTTACGAAGCAGGAGATTAAAAATGGCGGGACACTGCATCCGACATCCTGAGCTACTTGCCAGTGATTTAGTCTTATGGGAATCTACGCACGGTAGAGCACAGCAAGGCCGACCAAGACAAAGCTACTTGTTTATGTTACTGAAGGAAGTTGGGACAAACTCTAAAGAGGAACTGCGAACCCTGATGCGGGACAGGGATATATGGAGGGGGTTTTCTGGCGTAGATCGGACTTAGCTCCGACATAGTAGTAGTAGTATTTTGTCATATCTTCGGTTTCTGGAATAAGATCATTTTCAATTCTGAAAATTCGTAAGGACCTTCTAATTGGACTTTAAAAACTTGGTGGATATTGGAGTTGATATAGTGGGGGGGTGTCATGTCCGTCTATGTCCGCCTATGTCCTGTCCTTTTTGGATTCTATGAGACAACGGACGTGTTTTTTGGGACATAGGCGGACACGGACGGACATTGGCGGACTCGGACGGACATTGGCGGACTCGGACGGACATTGGCGGACTCGGACGGACATTGGCGGACTCGGACGGACATTGGCGGACCCGGACGGACATTGGCGGACTTGGATGGACATTGATGGACATTAGCAGACATTGGTGGACAAAAATTTTGAGGACTGAAGAGTACTGAAGAGTACTGAGGAGGATGGCAGAGAAGGATGGCTGAGGAGGATGGCTGAGGAGGATGGCTGAGGAGGATGACTGAGAGGGAGGAGGAGGAGGAAGAGGACTGAGGAGGAGGAGGAGAAGGACTGAGGAGGAGAAGGAGGACCCAGGAGGAGGAGGACCCAGGAGGAGGAGGACCCAGGAGGAGGACCCAGGAAAAGGCCCCAGGAGGAGGAGGAGGACTGGGGAGGAGGAGAACTGTTGAGGACTGATGAGGAGGAATGAGGACGAGGAGGAGGAGTAGGAGGAGGACTGAGGAGGGGAGGAGGAAGAGGACTGGGGAGGATCAGGAAGACCCAGGAGGACCCAGGAGGAGGAGGAGGAGGAGGACCCAGGAGGAGGAGAAGGACTGAGGAGGACTGAGGAGGAGGACTGACGATGACTGAGAAGGAGGAGGACTGAGGAGTACTGAGGAGGATGGCTGAGGAGAATGGCTGGGGAGGATGGCTGAGGAGGATGACTGAGGAGGATGACTGAGAGGGAGGAGGAGGAGGACTCAGAAGGAAGAGGAGGAGGACTCAAGAGGAGGACTCAGGAGGAGGACTTAGGAGAAATGAGAAGGAGGACTGAGGAGAACTGAGGAGGAGGACTGAATAGGAGGAGGAGAAGGAGGGGGACTGGGAGAGGACTGGGGAGGAGGAGGACTGATGAGAAGGATGAGGAGGAGGACCCAGGAGGAGGAGGACTGAGGACCGAGGAGGAAGAGGAGGAGGATGAAGAGGAGGAGGAGGACCCAGGAGGAGGAGGACTGAGGAGGAGGACTGAGGAGGACTGAGGAGGATGGCTGAGGAGGATGACTGAGAGGGAAGAGGAGGAGGAGGAGGAGGACTGAGAAGGAGGAGGAGGAGGAGGACTGAATAGGAGGAGGAGGAGGGGGACTGGGGGAGGACTGAGGAGGATGGAGGACTGAGGAGAAGGATGAGGAGGAGGACTGAGGAGGACTGAGGAGGAAGAGGAGGAGGATGAAGAGGAGGACCCTGGAGGAGTACTCAGGAGGAGGAGGAGGACTGGGGAGGAGAAGGACTGTTGAGGACTGATGAGGAGGACTGAGGACGAGGAGGAGGAGTAGGAGGAGGACTGAGGAGGGGAGGAGCAAGAGGACTGAGGAAGATCAGGAAGACCCAGGGAGAGGAGGAGGAAGAGTAGGAGGAGGAAGCATCTAAATGTTATTTCCATTTTGTCCGTTTTTGTCCGTTTTTGTCCGTTCTATTTTTTGTCCGTTTTGAAAATATAGGGTACCGAACGGACAAAAAACATGATCCCCCTATAAAAGCAAAAATTGAACATTTTATTTAGCAATTTAAGTGTCCATTAATGTCCGCCTATGTCCGCCTATGTCCGCCTATGTCCGTCTATGTCCGTCTATGTCCGCCTATGTCCGCCTATGTCCTGTCCTTTTTGGATTCTATGAGACAAGCGGAAATAGACGGACGTGACACCCCCCCCCCCCCCCCTAATCCTATAGTAATGAAAATGGGGCAAAAGACGTTGCTTTTAACCCAATATGTTGTAGCGCGATGTGTTACTGGGCTGCGCCGCGCACTCAATTATGCTTCTTGCAAAGAAGCTCTACTGGACCTTAACGAGCTGCGATGAATTGACATAGTCAATTAACCCAATATGCATTTGTTTCAAGAATTTTGTGCTGGCCGAAATTGGCGCTAAAAAACCATCCCACAGTCAGCATGCGCGGCTCACTACCTAGCTAGTTAGGGTTTCGAATAGTCTTTCAGGGCACTTAAAACGTGTTAAAATGTAAAAAGTTCATGTGATTATATACCAATCATCATCAACTTTTTGTCCACTAAACATTAACCAGTTTCTTGTAACTTTATTAAACCACTTATATAATAGCAAGATGGACTACTGGGCCGCGCATTCAATAATGCTTCTCCCAACCTTCGATAGATCGGAGAGATGCACGACTTGGCCACGCCGAGCTGCGAAGGATTGGCATCGTCAATCAATAAATTAGCTACAACTAAAAGTTAACCCTCCCTCTCACGGTCACACAAATAAAACAGGTTTCTTAGCAACCACATTAAACAACTATATAACAATGAGTTATTAGTACTGTTTCTTCACTGTTTAATTTCTAGGACAGTGTCCCTATATAATGTCATCAAATCCAGGACTCGTGGATCATTCAAGTAATCAGGCAATTCTTAAACATGGCTTAAATGTGGACGAGCCAGCTAGGGGCACGCTTGACGCTATTTGTCATTGAGGGGTCGTTCACATATTACGTTATCAATATTTGGCCAATTTTTAACCCCCTCCCCAATCAGTTTTCCACAGTAATATTGTGTTAAAAGTATGCTAGCGTTATCATTTTTAGACCCCCTCGGTAATGACTTAATATGTGAATGACCCCTATTACCAGTTCAGCCGATGGAAATATAAATATATATCTTCACGATGCGTTAAAGCATACAAATTTTCAAAATCCCACAATTAGATAAGCTTTACAAAACTGATAACTTAGTTTGTCCAGCCTGGCGGACATTGTTAAACGAATATAATACGCCCAGGAAAAAACAACCACGCCAAAAAGTAATTAATGAGATGATGATTGTCACATTTTATAGGCAGAAGTTTGAAGAATAAAATATTGTAATATTACTACCATATAGGTAAACATGTAATAAAATAATCATGAGAATCAACATAGCCAGCCATCGCCATGGCAACGATTCAAACCACAGTGACACACTTTTCGCGCAAGTTTTGTTTTACCCAACTTTAAAGTAACATAAATTGTTTTATTTCAAAATAACTGTTTCTCACTGTAAAACAATTCACATAAAAAGCGATCCTTCTTATGCAGCATTTCTAGATAATCACTCAATGTATAATATAAGAAAAAAGTTTTACAGTGTAAACATATATCATATCAAATGAAACGAAAGAAGAGATCCGGCTCTTATTTCCAGTAAACACGTGACAAGACGGCCACAACACTACAATAAATAGGTAATTTCTATACAGTAAACACTGGGCACGAGCGTGTAAAATAAATAGTATAATCGGAGGGTAACAGTACAGCATCCATTATTTGTCTTCAATATGCTAATATAATAAACAACTATACGAGCACGTGTGCGCGGCTCCAACACTCTGCAAGTGTGCATTGAGGATCTCCAGTTGATCAGTATCGATGTCGATGAGGAGGCGGTCCACCCCTGCGATAGTCCCGGGGCGGCGGTGGTGGGTAGCCCCGGTACATCGGGTGTGGAGGGTAGGGACCAGGACCGTTCCTGGGACCTCCACCTCGGTAACGTTGCCTTTCGTCGTGGTATCTGTCATCGTGGTACCTGTCGTCATGACGACGGTCGTCGTAGTAACGTTCGTCATTGTACCGTTCATCGTAGTACCGTTCATGGTACCTATCTTCTGGGTACCCTTCGTAGTAGTCGTTTTCAGGAGCAGGATATCCGTAGTTTCTCCTTCTGTAGGTGTTTCTTGTCTCACTGTGTTTCCTTTTCTCAGCTTTCTTTTCTTTTTCCTCACTATTTGTTTCTTCCTGCCTCTTCCTAGGTTCTTCCTCGACGATGATCTTCTCGACAGGCATGGTTTCTTTAACTGGAGAGCCGGGAGCCTTTCCAATTCCAACAGGTGACTGAACAAAGGATTGAGGCGGTTGTTCCTTGATTGGGGAGCGTGGGGACGTCTCAGGGAGAGCAGAAGGAGATAAGTCTATTTTCTCAGGAGGAGGAGGTTTTATGGGGCTGCTGGCAACAGGTTTCATGTTATCAGGTAGAGTTTCCTTAGCAGGGTCCTCACCACGTGCAATAGCAGCTTGGTACTGCTGGATCTGTGCCAGCGATTGCTGCTGCATGTGCTGCTGAACAGAGGGAGGGATCAGGGAACTGAACTTGTTCCTCATGTCCGGCACTCGGTGTAGTCGTCCATCCCGAGCTAGTTTTACTCGCGGCATGTTTCGCACCATAGGGTTGACGGTTTTAGCGGCAGCGATGGCAGCGGCTTGCTGCTGGATGAAGGCAGTGGCGTCTTGGCGAGATGACTGTTGTGGAAAGAGGGCGTGAGGCATTCGCTGTAAGTTCTGTTGGGCGGTCATGTTTTGCTGCATCAAACCTGTAACGGAGACTGTGAATATATTGAACAAGCATATATAATATAAGCAAAGACTTTCATCACGAAAGAATCAGGTGATTTCACGATCAATCAGACTTCTGAGAAAGTTTGAAATTTTCTAATGCGTCCCTATTACCCTATTGTTAAAAAGAGAGGCTGGGCCTGGATGGCCCACGAGAGGATAGCATGATGCTCAGCCTGCCTCTGGGGTATGGCAACCCTAGGGGAGGTTGCCGGAGATATCAATGTGTATAGTGGAGGATAGTGGCTAAGTTATGAGAAATTGTACCAAAGCCTTGCAACAAGTAATAGGATATATCAAACAACTTGTGAACAGGCAATGTATAATTAGTGTCCCAATACTGCGGCCTTGAATATCATGATAGTATCAAGAATTTGGTATTGGAAAATATTGTTGAAATGGTTTCAATTACAAATAAATGTTTTACTCTTGTTACCCACCATTAATGGCACTGAAGTCGCTGGTGATTGGTCGCTGAACCATAGCCTGTCTAGCGCCGAGTGTTTCCTTCTCAAAGCCCTGGTTGATAGGCTTGTAGCTGAGGTGAGGTAACACTGGTGACGGTCCGTTTGGCTGCATCACGTGTTGAAGCATCTCTGAAATTGTAAGCATCCAATTAGAACCCCGATTTACTGTTGCTGCTGTTTTCTTAATAAAAAGCTGAACACTAAACCACCTTATTTAAAGCAAGACCAAAAAATCTGTTACCAATACCATAGCTGATTATAGCATAATAATAAAATTATAAAGATACTGACCAGGTTTGAACATGCCCGGACGCGGGGGAGCCTGCATGGGATTACCCCCCGGGTTGAAGGGTTTAGCGTCCACGTGCTTGCTCATATCCGACTGAAGCAGAATATTGTCCGTTGGTTTCAGTTTGTAGTACAACTCCTGACCCGGCATCATCCTGATTAAAGGTTGTAGTTTAATTGGTTGTATTTTTAGTAAGAGAAAACTTGATTTGACACCCAGTCATGTCGTAAAAAGTATAAAATTTTGCCTTCTTGTAATCTTGTCAGTTTCGTGATTTCAAAATGTAGCAGATCCAACAAAGTCGGGTAAGAATTGAGTAAGTAAATCTAACTGACCTCTGATAGAAGAGTTGCTGGTTGGTGAGGGTGTTGGAGGTAGGTTTCTGCTGACCGAATGACATCATCCCGGTATGGTCCAACCCATCAAACGACCCCTGAGGGCTGTTGTACAGATTCTGGAGCTTGGGGCTGCTTGATTTCTGCTGGAACTGTGCGAAAGGATTTATCTGCGATGGTATTGGACTCATGGAGGGACTGCCATAGTTACCCGAGGACTGGTTAGTCATGAACTGGTTGGACATGAATTGATGGATGTTCTGATTTACGAAGTTTTGGTTTGATCCCGGATATATCTTGTTAGTAGGAGACATGGGGGACATATAGTTTTTGAAGAGGTCGGATGTAGTGACAGGGTTGGGACGATTCACGATGTTGCCAAGAGAAGAGAGAGGAGATGAGATAGGGTGAGACCCTATCAGTGGTAATGACGTATTATTCCCTCCTGAAAATGTAACTAGTTAGTCAATGGAAAAACTCAAAGTTCAGACTTTAAAATATTTCCTGGGATACATGGACCCCCTCCCCCAGTTGTGATGACTGATGAGCAGAAATGAACAAACCAATTTGGTGAGGAGAAGGAAGGATATGAGGCGTTATCTCAGATACAGGTGGAGAGATGAAGTGACCAAGAAGAGGTTGTTGGTGTTGTTGAGGAATTTGCTGTTGGGCTATCGTCGGCTGTTCCGGGTGTAGGCTGGGTGAGTTCTGTAAACTCTGCATCAGCGGTGAACCCTAAATATACAAGTAGATCACGTTTCAGTTCATTTTTAAACTGACAAAACTTGCTCATTTGAAAATTTGTTATGCCAACGTGCAGATAAATTCCACCCTCAAATTACCTGGATTCCCTGCATAGCAAAGAACTGAGATCTATCAGCTGCAGCCTGTTGTTGAGCAAGCTGAGCCTGTCCAATCTCCCTCAGCTGATCAGTGAGGGACAGTCCACCAGTGGAGGTTATCATCTGTTTGACGGCAGTGTTGAGGCCAGGAGTCCTGATGGGTGGTGACACGTCGCTAACTGGCATTGGTGGAACCTGAACAGGGTCCTCAACCAGGGGTCGTGGTGCAGGAGGTGTTGTCTGGGTGGATGTCTCTGCAGATACTAGATCGGGGGAAGTATCGGAGTCTTTAGGCGAGTCACTCAACTGAAAAAGATTTGTTTGTTTACATTTGATAAAGTTTATCAGACCCAATCACATTTTCTGACCCACAGAAATTTCTGAGACTACCTGAATTTTGATATTGTATGGAAATTGGAACAGTGACCCAAAAATCAAACCTCTTCACTTGAGAGAAGCTCAGGTTGAGGGGGAGCAGTTGGAACCCGATCCCTCTGAGACAAACCGACCACCGGAGGAGCAACTAATGGAGCTGTTAGCTTGGTGTCCAGTACCAGAGAGGACAGGGTCGTCTTCTCGTCCTCACCGTCTGACCTGATACCAAACAAATCCTGAGAGAGATTTATTGAACGTCAGACATTATTGAACGAAGACAACATGTCTTCAAACTACAAGAATATTACCATGCTATATTATAATTTTCTCCATTATAATTTGATAATAATATAGGCGCTACAAAGCTTTTCTAGTGCTAAACTGACCTCGACAACAGGAGGGATATTAAGATCGAGGGAGGATCCTGACAGAACACCGCTAGGTAACTGTAGTTCCTTCTCCTCTTCCTCTTCTTCCTCAATTTCTTCCTTTGACTTTTTCTTCTCGCTCTTCCTTTTCTCAGAGGCAACTACCGCTGCCTTTTCTGAAGCCTTCGAAAATCGGGGCGGCCGAGCTTCAGATCCTAAAAACGCCAAATTAAAAATTGTTAAATACATGAAGATAGAAAAGCCTGATAGATATTGCAATTTCTGCTAACGAGATTAGTAGAGATAGAAAAGGACCAGGGTGTTTGAACTACGAGAAGAGAGTCCGCGTATCTAATGAAAGTTAACTTTATCTTACCTCTCCAATTCTTCTCTTTGGTCTTCTTAGCCAGGTCAGCATCAGATGAGAATAGTGAAGTGCTCTCACCCGAGATCGGGGCAAGAATTTCCCGGGATCCGATAGTTTGTTTCTCTGAGAATGTTAGTGGTTTGTCCCAAGCGTTTTTCTTTGGATTCGACCAGATGTTAACGGACATGAGAGGCATATCGACGGCGGTGTTTGAGCTCCAGGACTTGACTGCGGCGGGGTTGAGAGGTTTCTCAATTCCAGTCGGTGAAGCAGATGTGGTGGAGACAGAGGTAGCTATTTCAGCTACAGTTGCCTGTTTGGCCTCTTCCTGAGAGATGGGTGCCTTTTTAGCTTTAGACGCTGACTTTTTGGATTTCTTTGATTTTGAAATTGCAGGTTTCTTTTCTGGTTCAGGTTCTTTCTTGCTTTTCTTACGAACCACCTCAACAAATCCCTCAGAATAATCTGCGGCCTCCTGGTCATCAAGCTCTTTTCCATCTACAGCATAAATACCTAACGTCAATAAGTCCATACCAGATTGTGTCATTTTCTTCAACCGATCCATTTCGAATTTGGTCTTTTCGATCTTCTTAGCTTTTTTAGCTTCAACAGCGGGATCTTTCGTCTTAGTTTTAGACGCTTCGCTTGGTTTTGCTTCAGCGGATTCTTTCTTAGAAGGCTCTTTCTTAGGATCTCTCTTTGTATCCCGTGACCTAACATCACTCTTTGCTCTTACAACCTTGTCTTTTGGTCGTTCATCATTAGTTACAGGTCGTGGTGGCACTGATTGGCTGGATGATTTCAATCTGTCAGCAGGATTAGCTGAGTAATATTTCAAGGAAGGAGTTTTACGAGTCCGTCTCTGAGGTCGCTCAGATTTGTCCTGCTTATCTCCATTCTCGTCACTAGGTTGTTCAGAGACAATTTTTGCTTGAGCTGCCGTTGATTTAGATCGTTGCTCATCAGATGATATCCATTCCTCTCCTTCCCTGGGGCGGCGAGGACGTCTCTCTGGTTTAGTTTTTTTATCCTTTAGATCAGTCTTGTATTTTTCGACTCGAGCCTTCTGTTTTGAAACAGGTTTCTTTTCGTCAGATTTGGGCGCACTCTCTTGGTCCCGGACTTCTCTCTCGGGGCGTGGTCGTCGTTCACGTCGAGGTTCCTCTCTCCGAGAATCACGTGGTCTCTCACCGCGAGACGAGCGAGGTTCCCTTCGATAGGTTGTGAAATCAGGCCGCTCATATCGCTCCCTGTCATATCGCTCTCGGGGATCTCTTCTCTCACGATCATAACGTTCAAATCTATCTTGATCACGTGCTGACTTCTCGCGTGGTGCTGCCTTTTCAGAATTTTGTTTGGGTTCAGTATCAGCATTTTCCTCGGTTTCTTCCTCGAGGACAGACTCTTCTTCAACAGCAACAGCTTCGTTTTCATCAACTAGTTCTTCTGGTTTATCCTCAGCATTTTCGAATTCACCATCTTCTGAGGCAACAGTTTCAGGAGGCGTTTCTTCTTTAGACTCAGATCGTTCCACTTTTTTGCTACGCTCCTGACGTTTTGGCCGATCACGTACATCAGCACGCTCGTAGTAAAATCGATCAGGTTCATCATAGTAGCTATACCTGTTGTATCGTCTCCGACTATCAGGAGCTCTTTCATCACGATCGTAACGATCTCTAGAATCATACTTCCGTTCACGGGATTCGTATTTTTCTGGTTCTCGATACTCACGATTCTCGGGGCGCTGTTCCTGTGAATCATTGCGTTTCCTTTCACGAGGTTCTCTAGGCTGTCTAGGCTCCCGGGAACTTCGGCCTTCTCTTGAACCACGTGGTTCCCTGGGTTCTCGATACTCGATTCGGAATACCTCCTCTTTCCTTCGTTGCTGACGGCGCTCTGCTTTTGCAGCCTTTTCAGTTCGATCGATGTCATAGAACTCATCTTGTCCTCTGCGCCGAATACTCCGTTTCTCCCGTTCAGCTTCTCGCTCTTCCTCATACTGTCGCCTTTCGTCTTCATCAAACGCAGAGCCGTCGTACTGTTCTGGAGTGCGATAGTCTTGGTACTGTTGTTGTCTGACTTTTTGAGCTTCAGCTTTTTGAAGGTCTCGTCTCCTTCTATCTTCCTCAGCCTCAATACGGTCTCGTTCAGCTTGTTTTTGCGCCCAATAGTTGCTAGTAGGAGCAGCTGTTGACTGGATTGGAGTTGGTTTCGGTGCAGCTGGAGGAGCAGGTTTTTGAAGAATTTCTACTGGTTTCGGTTTTTGTTGGATGGTTATCTGCTTCTTTGGCTCAGGTGGTTTGACTGTTGTCAGTGCCATGCTGTTAATACAGTTTGTAGCATCTTCTAAAGCTTTTCGTTGGCCATTATCCATGAAACGTCTTGAAGATTGTTGGTCAGGACGATCTCGAGTTCTCTGTTCATGACGATCACGATCATCTCTCCGATGGTTTGAGGGTGGATGTCTCTCGTAATGACGACCATCATCTCGATCTGGTGCGTAGTCGTCATCAAAATACCTGTCAGCATTACTGGGTGCTGGGGCACCTTCTCCAGCAGAACGGGGAATGTTCCAAACGTTTCCATCTTGGGCTTTCTGGCGTTCCTCCCAGACACTCACAGACTTGTCCTCTGACTCATCGTCTTCCCAATTGGCAGATATCTCTTCCTGTTCAGATTTTTGAAGGATCTGTTTCACCTCTACCTCATCTTCCTTGGGGAAGGCTTTCAACTCTTTCTTGGCGATGGATCTCGAAATGACTCGTGGAGCAGATTCTTGATTGAGGTCAAGTTTTTCCTCCAGTTGATAAGCTAGTTCGTCCTCAAGTGGTTCCGATAGAGAAGAGTGAGAAGATGTTCGACCGTGATAAGTTATTCTCTTCTCTTCGGACGGTTTACCTGAAGGTGGGGCAAGGTTAGGAGAACTAATTTAGTGACTAAATTCTGCCATAAAACATAGGATATCGAGAGTAGTAGTAATAATAGTAACCATGAGATTAAGCATGGCAACTAGGTATATTCAGTTAAAAGTTGTGACAGTAGCACTTATTTTAACAATGGACTGGAACAGTAAAACAGTCAAGTAACACCGCTGATTTCGAGATGACTTACCGACAGGGTCAGCCCTAATTTCTTCAGTCTGTTTCAACTTTCCAGGAGTACCAGGGAATGGTAAGGTGTAGGGACTAATATAGCCCATCTGCGGAGGATTTTGGTCCGGTGCTCCTGTCCCAACTTTCTGGGTCGGTTGAATGTCGTCTCCCCATTGCTCCGACGCTTTAGCTGGAATCTGCAAAACAGTGGTTTAAGCGCTGTTTTCGTCTTTAAATGATATCACAAAAGTTGTCATGATGATGAAAGTAAGTCGCGGATGTTATGGAATGAATTCACAAATGCAGGCCAGAGTCATGCAGAAAATATTCCGCTTATTGATAAAGATAGACGGACGGAACCCCGCCCGGAAACTAGTGATATAATTCTTGGCAGTGAACGAAAATTGCGCGGCTCTCAACGCGCCAAAATGTAAGTGAATAAATGGTGCGTAAGAGTAGTTTTCGTACGATCTCACTCTTTTCGGTAGACCCTTTTGCGTAATTGTGACCGTTTTCAGTTTGGTAATTTTCCAAAAACTAAAGGATGTCGGAAAACTTAGAGTGCATGCGTCACATACAACGTGAATGAGAAAGATACTGTTGATATTCAGCATGCGGAGTCTAAAACACTGCCTGGTGTAAACATTCGATCAATGTCAATTCAATGATATGCAGACTCTATAACAAAGAAACTTCTGCTTCCAGCTTAAAGCAAAACTGAAAATTTCCTGTTCCGTTCTGCGCGCTTATAATTTCTAATAAAACCGCTAGTTAATAAACGCTTAAACTTCGGGTACCTTTTCTTCAGCTTTTTCTTTCTCCTCTACCGGTTTCACTTTGACTTGAACTTCGTCATTACCGTGCAATGGTGGTGGTGCAGTGTACATCTGAAAATATACATTTATTAGAAATCGTTTAATCATCTTTTCATGTTTGTCAAGATCGGATATTATTATATTTAAATGAACAGCATGGTGTCTCCTGAACTATTCACTGGATATTCGTAGAGATTAAATTCCAGTAAAGGATTTATAATTTAACATTCAATTTCAAGTTTTATTTTGACAAAGCACTGCACTTCCACGATTAGTTTTATCCATCCTTATAATATGTAGTTCCAAATATTGCTGTCCAATAGGAGAAACTGATTCACTTTAACATGAGTACAATTGAGGGTCAACTTCATAAGAGACTAAACAGTATTTCAGTTAATAAAATGCACAACAGTGGGTGCCAGCTGGAGACCTAACTTTTCTTCTTTTAATTCTCTTCTAAATGTTCTGGATACATCTCTTGGATAACAAAGAGACGGAAATGTACTATGTGATATGTTGAACAAAGATGTTCTATAAAGTTTGAGAAGGATCTTGTGGGTTAAAGTTTCTATGGAGCTATGGGCTAAATTAAATTAAATTAAGTCTAGCAGATAAAAGTTTAAGAAGTTTGTAAGTTAAATTACATATTAACATTACAGCCTAGCAGGAAAAAACTGACTTTTATAATAGTGTATATTTTTTGTTATAGTGTCTATTTATATTTGTTATAGTGTCTATTTGTTATAATGTCTATTTGATATAGTGTCTATTTGTTAAACAAACATAAATTATTATTCCTCACGGAAGCATATTATGTGATTTGCTCAGCAAAGCTGTTCTACAAAGTTTGAGAAGTTTCTAGTGGTTACATCACACATAACCTAACATCACATTACTGGCTGGCAACAATTACTAACTGCTTCTCATAATAGTGTATAATCCTGTGTAACAACATTATACATTCAAAAGTAGAAACAACTTTAGAAAGACAGAGACGTGCATGTCACAGTTTTGCAGTCATTATTATGTACATTAGGGCAGTGACGTGTGTATTTTTACAAGTACAGGCAGATCCAGCAGATTGTGCAAAACTAGAAATTATTTCCTTGCATTAAACTGTCGGATTAGTAGTTTATACAAGAAGGCTGTAGACCATTTCTATCCAGTGAGTATCGTTTTTATGCTGAATTGTTGTTTGTTATCCAACTTTCAGAGAAACATTAAGCAAGAATCTTTAACAAGAATTGCGCCCGTTGTTTCGTTTTGGCGGACGCTAGATTTCCATTTCACTATAACTATTGATATAAGCTCTAATCAGCTCACCTTATAATAATAATATTGAAAAATTAGTACACTACGCTTATTACAAAATACTATACATTACTAGTATACATTAAAATACGCTGGTGCCGCGCATTCATTGACCACAGACTAGCTATACACCACATCTCCGCAAGCAATCCTCGCGCGCGTGTGCGCGGCAAGTTGACATGGTAACGAACGGAAGCAAGGAAGACGACATTTATTTGACCCACCTTCTGCAATCCCCAAAATCCACGTTTTTCTGCAAAAACGTCCATTCGTAACCTTTCACTATTGCCTTTTTTCAAAAGGGTGAAAAGGAAAAAATCGTGCTTGAGTATTAATGTTAAGTGGTATACTCACGTAAGGTATAGAAAGGGGGGCGTTAAGGGGTTGTGCCCCCGTGTAAATCTGTGGCGGGGTGCCTGAGTTAGCAGGGTAGATAGGCCTGTACACCGCGCCTGGTGGCATTCCTGTGTATATCGGACCTGTGGGAGATAAGAGAATTAGGCTAAAACAATTTGGGTCTCCCAAAACAATTTACTTGCATTTTTTCATTATATAGTTTAATATTACGAACGTAAAGCAGAGCCTCCTCAACAGAACGTGCTGTATATATTCAAAATGTAAAAGTTTTTGTGTCCCCCTTTGTTTGAGAAGTTCAATTAATACTCTGGACCATGAGTAAACAAAAACAAACTGTCGGTTTATTGGCAAAATTAGCTTGATAGCAATTATTGCAGATCAGAGGAGATTTGAGCCGAGGGACAGCAGACAAAGAGCTGACAAATTCCTAGGATACCAACAGGTGTCTAATTTAACAAGAACAATAGCCGTACTCTCTTGAAGATAATCATAGTATATCAAATTTGTTGATCACAGAAGATTATTTGCATTCAATTTAAACGCTTGAATGAGTATCATACTTTTAATTGCCCTGTTCTGGCCCAGTAACGTTATTATCCTAGTCATTAGGATTGATCGCGGGGCAAAATTAGAACTCGAATAACGGAGGTTTTATTCAGTATTGTCGAAAAGCGATGTTGGTATTTTTAGACCAACATTTCAGGACAAGTGGAAATTGAATTATGTTTGAATTGCGTCTCCTCTTAATTGCTATCATTTGCTATTTTTAGAATCGAAATGGCGAAAAATTCAGAAAATATCTGCACCACTCACAATTTTCAACATGCTGAAATGACGAAACCGGTAAAAAGTTTTTGGGATAAATGGTGAACATCGAATTTCGATGAACCTACAAGAAATTCGTTGACTGCAAAATAAGTAAATCAGATTTAATTGTTATGAGTATTGCTGAAATAATTAGTTACCTGGAACAGGAACCATGCCATACATGGGTGACATAGGAACCTGGACCACGCCGTAAGTCTGATTGATGGGGATTGTTATTTGGGGTGGGGGCATTGCTGGGTGGATAACAGTAGGAGGCATCGGTCCCATCGTGGGGGCTCCTTCTCCACTATCTGAAACAAAAGTAAGTGTTGGTCAGTATTAACTAACTAATTAACATCATTAGACACTATTGAAAAATCAACAAATATTTACAAATCATCAACAGGAGCACACTCGGCACAGTAAGGCTTATTATTGAGTAAATTGGTCAGTGACGTATGTAACCTAGGAACGGATCACTTATACCCACATTAAGAAAGTTTTAAATTTCCTCGCAGTACAGTGTTCCCCCTAAAAATGTTCTTATGCTCTAAAAAAACGGCAGGTCAAATTTCCTCTCACATCCAAAATTTCCTCGCAGTCAGACTGCCAGACTGCCGTGTTTCTGGATGTGGACACTTATAGGGATAATCTTCTAACGTAATTTTTCCACGTCATTCTGCGGAATGACGGAATAAAGATGACGGTCACGACGAATGCCGCATAACATGAGAACCCTCCCGTTACATGTACAAGCTTAAGTCGGGTGATTTTAATTCACATGCTAAATAACTAATGATTTCGTGCGCTTTTAAGCCGTGAGATTATGTGATCTATCGGACAAGTTTAAAGCGTAGTGCGGCCGTAACTTCGTAACGAGGTAATAGCCTGACAGTTGCGTCACGATAGTAAGCCGGTGTAATACCGTTACTTGATCTCTCGTGGAACCGGAGCAGGCTGAGGGTGAGTTATTATCTTGAAACCTAAACAGTAAACCGTTACATTATTACTTTCCTTTTACACTACTACGTTACTACTTTCCTTTTACTGCGCTTGGATAGTGAAATATTAATGCTGCATGGTTGGAGAATTGTGCGGATGAGGCATTGTTCAAATCAAATTAAATACGTCTTACTTTGATGTATTACAACATGGAATTAGACGATTAGGACATTACAGAAACATTTAACCGTAATTAAAGAAGTGACATCATTACAAGCACATAATAGGAGGGCTGGGTCCGTGTAGCACGTTAGGGAGGCAATACACGGGATATTGTGTTGCTGCTCAGAACGGCAAGCCATTGGAATTTGCAGCCAAATAATGTAACTTCCGATTTTTAATTGGATCTACACTCGGAGCTCACGGTTGAAATCTTTTAACAAACACGATGTGGTTTGTTACGTCTCAATAACCCCTACTTACAGGAAACAATCCCTGAATCCCATATCCCCCCACTTATCACGATTCAAGATAATTCTCATTGTGAAGATGAAGTCACGCTGTTGCAGCCGTTATATTTATTACATACAGTATTAAACTCATTATGTTGAATTACAGGTCTGCATTGCATTACTAACCAATGTTGGAAGGGTGCTTGTGCTGCTTTTCTCCCCATTTTACGGTTTGAGGACGTAGTTCTAGCCTTTGTGATGAGGGGGCATCTTCTCCAAGGGATGGAAATTCCTGAAAATGTGTTTGTTACGATCGGCTATTATGATTAGTAACTAAAAAACTCAAGGAGAGTGCTCTTCCACGATTCCAGAATCCAGCCCCGGCCTGTATTTATTGATCCTGACCAATATTTACTAATCCCGATCGATAACTCACAAAACTTTGATAACTTGCCCTTATACAAGAAATATTTTCGAACCTCATCTACAGAAAAAAACTGAAGTGGTCTTATGTTTTAAGTCTTCTTACCTGAGAAAATCCAGGATGTTTAGAGGCTGGCTTGTCCTCAACTTCTTTCCATCCCTTCTCCCCCTCAGTCGATTCTACCTGAGTTGACTCCTTCTTGCTTCCCCATCCGCCACCACCGGGGACAAGTGCCACGTTCGGATCATTTCCTGCATTTTCCTTTTTGAGACTACTACAAACTGCTGGGCGAGGTAATCGTCGAGTGGATACTCCGACTTTTCCAAGTGACTGCAGACCGCGACCTGGAAATTATAAGTGAGTAAACTTGGTGAAGACTGAAGATCATTATAACTGATTATAAACCGTTGTTGTACATCTGGTTGCTGGAATTAAGTCCAAGTAAACATTAATTTAATATCTTAACATTCTTAATTACTAACCAGTGGTCGACTTGGCCGCAGTTTTGGGGTCGCGTTTATTGAAGTGCTGCGATAGGTTTATACTCTGATATTTGCGGTTACCATCATTTTTTCCTCCCCTATTAAACTGATCTGACATTTCATGTATAACATTGAGACGACAGCCTAACAAGATGTTAGTGGTAAGAGACTGCGACTGGGGAAAATAATAATATTAAATCTTATAGAGTTACGTAATTGAAACAATCATGGCCACTTATTGTAGGCAAAACATTTGTCCTGTCAATGAAGATTGAAGATGCTCCTTGTTGAATAAGTTTTGGTATGAAACCTGAGTTATATAACATATCAAAGTTACTAAGACCGGTCTTAAGACATGTGGATACAAATATCAAATGGAAGAAGATGCAGCCATTAGGGTTTGCAATTGATAATATCAGCAATAAAATCACAAAACATCACAAAATAGCAAACAAAAAAGCAGTATATACAGTTCAAAATGTATAATGTAGTACAAATGTTTCCTCTATAATACTGCAAAATGCAACACTCTCATAGGAAGTTCCCTCATTCATGTCACTTGTGCCCAAAACTCCCAAATGAACTTTGTGGCAAAACCAAATCGGTGGTAATTGATGACTTTGCGATAACCAGGTAAAATGTAGAAGTGTCATAGCTACAAAATGTACTGAGTACTTTACTTCCTTGGCTACCAATCTGAACGAACAAGTGTTAGCCCAAGATAGACTCCCTATTTGACCAATAGAGTATTTTTGCCTAGTACATTTTCAAATCTGTTGACAGCTCAATTATCATCAAGGACACTAGCCCAAACAGGATTGCTGATGTAATTGTGAGCTTTGAGAATGGCAAAGCAAGCAATATTCCCATAAGTTAGTTGAGAAAACGGCCTATCTGTTACACTTGCTATCTATGTACACTGTCAATTGAGATAAATGAACGGGAAGCGGTTATTGAGGGTTAAATAAGGACCCCTCAATAGATTCCGAATCTTAATCAAGGGCTCTTTCAGTAAATATGCCCTGAGAAACAGAGGAAACGGCCTATCTGTTACACTTGCTGTCTATGTACATTTTCGACTAAGATAAATGAACGAGAAGCGGTGATTGAGGGTTAAATAAGGGCCCTTCAAAAGATTCCAAATCTTAATCAAGGGCTCTTTCAGTAAATATGACCCGAGAAACAGAGGAAACGGCCTATCTGTTACACTTGCTGTCTATGTACACTTTCGACTAAGATAAATGAACAGGAAGCGGTGATTGAGGGTTAAATAAGGGCCCTTCAAAAGATTCCAAATCTTAATCAAGGGCTCTTTCAGTGAATATGCCCCTAATTTAACATGTGTTTAAATGGAAAAAACCACTTTCAATCACAACCTTAACTTTAGCTTCGTTCAGAAAGTGCTAAAGCATGGTATATAAACAAACCCAAAAATGTAATTCAAGAAAACAACCATTTTTTTCATGAAAATGTCAATCTTCTAATACTTAATCATACAGGATGTTCTCTGTATTCGGTATGGACTTGTTTCTATTGTAAAGTAAAGCATAGTAAAGTTCATTGACCTGTTGACAAAAACAACAATTTCATTTAGTATCTATTAAAGCAAACAAAAATATATTTTATATATCTAGCAGGACCTTTAACCCATTAGGGACGATAGGGTCGTTTTTATGACCCACCTTTTCTAGACGAAAAACCAAATTACTAAACGCTATAACGAATCTATAGCATATATACTCAAAATTTATTGGGCTTCATTATATGTAGCCCAATAAATTTTGAGCATATATGCTATAGATTCGTTATAGCGTTTAGTAATTTGGTTTTTCGTCTAGAAAAGGTGGGTTATAAAAACGACCCTATATATGACAAAAACTCACCCACATATGACAAAAAAGATATGGAACAGATATATAAAGCTCATGAAACGAGGAAAATGAAAAAGTACAACAACAGAATCATCCAGGTGGAAAAAGGCACCTTTACCCCACTTATATACTCAACAAATGGCGGATGGGGTCCACAAGCCACAAGATACCACAAGAGACTCGCTGAAAAACTATCCCAGAAGAGAGGAGAAGACTATGCGGCTATTATGTGTTACATGCGCACCAGGATTAGATTCTCAATCCTCAGGAGCACCCTGATAGCGGTCAGGGGTGAGAGAGGGAGACGGCAATCGTATACATTGCCAGTCAGTGTAACTTCGTTTAACTTGATACCTGCCACCATGGACTATGAATGTTTCTAGACACTATCCTTTTGATATTGAGACATTGGTATCTCAGATCACGTGTACACCGTTCCTTTTTTTTTAAAGACACATTAATTTATTGACACTCACAGCTATAATTTTTAATCGTTGAATCAGTATCTTTATCTATTAACTTATTACACATTTGTGCTCTGCTTAAGCATCACTTGACTATTTAAAAAAATTGTTTGTTCAGGCCATGACCTTATAGTCAGCCAATTGGCCATTGCTATATTATGTGTATATTGTTTGAATATTCTTTTATATTTAAAACGACCCTATCGTCCCTAATGGGTTAATTGATTTATTCGAATACTGAAAAATTCGAAAAAAAGAGCCTCTCTTAACTTAATGCTACATCATAATTTACCGATCATTTGACAATGTCAACCGAGGGGATGTTGCACAGATGAGTAGTTTCGCATTGATGTAATGAAATCCTTAGCTAACTCTCACAATCAATTTAGGTGGCACTCGAATTTGAACCTGAACCTCTTCACTCGGCCTCCTGTCCACTAATTAATCTGACAAATTTTGCTTAAATATAAAACTAGCATTCAAAGTGAAATACGCGGACTGCACAGCAGACTTCAACAGAGATGTTTAACTATGAAAACAAATTAATGAACAATGAATTGTGATCAACCTGAAACAATAAGCAAGATTAAAGGATGCCTTTTAAGTAATAGCGATGGAGTCCTTGTTTGTTGTTGCTAAAATTGTTGGCGAAAGGGAGCTTCTAGTGTGATAATAATAGTTAGTCAATCAATGTACCCAGATGAATTCAGCTATGCTTATTGTGAAACTATACTGAAAGGTTAACATCCTGAAGACAAGTATTAGAAAAATGAGAGGAACAGGATTATCCCCTTGGAAGTAAGTAGAGCCCTTGTGCTTTAGAAATTTAGTGAATTGTAATACTCCCGATACCCCCTAAAATTAAATTGTCCATGTCTAACTGTCCTGCCACTTCATGAGGATCCTCACCCGAGTGAAGCTTCACGCTCAACAAATTATGGTATTTGCATCACACTGCAAGCGCTGCAAGTGAACTTAACTAGCTTGCTAGTCTATTGCTTGCTCCTCTCAGGAAACTTGAAAAGAGCGCCGCATGGCACACACAGGAATTGACGCGCCTGGTAACGAGTGACTTGAAGATCAGGGAATATGTCAACAAACAACGTAGGAGCTGTACGAATAGTTGATAATTCTATTATTAATCGAGTAAAATACAATTTAAGTAAAATACAATTTTTATTTTCCACAGAAGAATCAATACATATTGAATTATAAATATCCGATAATTCCATTAATAATCATTAAAAGTTGCTTTGTCATTTGTAAAATCAAAAACGAAAAGCCGTACGCTGAACTGTGAACGCGCGCGGCGTTTTTTCTGCAGCTGCCTAGCTTCAAGCTTGTAGCCGCTAACATCAAAGCCGCCGCGCGCGCCCAGTGCTGGGGTGCATTCTCATTAACAATTAAACTTGGTCAAAGATAGTTATATACAATTCCTCAATTAAATCAATAATCATGTTAATATGAGTATTCAACACTACTCGACAACAAATATTTGCCGGCCCATCAACAATTCAGTCGCCGAAACAAAAATCAAATGTTTGCTTTTTCGTTTCGGGGACTGTTTGAACTCAGTACTATGTCCGACTAATCATACTTTATAATGGTTAAAATACAAAGTAAAAAGATTTTCCTCGATGGGCCGGCATTCGCAACCGCGAAACGTTTTGAGTACGACAAACGATGACACCACCACCAGCCGTTAATTAATAAGTCCATGGGTGACGGGATAAAGTTAAAGTAAGATGTGTAATTTCATATTGCCTATCACCTATCACCAAAGTTACTTTGCATATACTGCTTCTAGTTACACGATAGCGATCTCAGTTCCCAATAACGTGTGACCCAACAGAAGGGATTGTGGAAGGACACGTACATTTTTCATTAACACGTGCCCTGATTACCCCCATCCGTTGAGCTACTATACGGGGAACGTTGACCGCCAGTCTGTAGTCAGATCGTTAATAAATTTTACTTTAAAATTGGTTGCCGGGCGATGGTGTCAGTGAGAGACGTTAAGTTAGGTGAACATTGGTACAAAAATATAATAATATAGCAGTTTATCTCAAAGTTAAAATCACTATTTGTTAAAGTATACAAACAGTTCTATTCAAAAGAACAAAGTCCGAGAGCAGAGAGAAGATTTGGAGACTATACACGCATATGTGGGGTTTAAATTTGGTATTAGTAATTTTAGGGTTCGACCGAAAATGTTGGTCGGTTGGTTAATAGGGAGCAGTCACTGTCATTAGAATTATCAGATTAGGAGCAAAAATTAGAATCAAATTGGACATATTGTGTATTGTGTATTGTGAAATCAGTGAAACCTAGAATTAATGGCGGTAAAATGCTAGCGCGCCTTGTTATGCGCGCTAACATACTAGCTGCTGAAAATAAAGAAGTATATGCATGATAATGTCGTTTGGCGGCAGCGCCTGCCGATACCTGGATTATATTGTGTTTAACTTAGAATTCAGTGAAATTTTTGTCATTCCATTCAGCACCATACCTGTTTTGGGCATTCATCAATGACTTTTGTAATTTATTCTTAACAGAAGAACAAGAGGAATTAAAATTAAATGAGCCAATTTTACAAAACTCATTCCACAGTCACGCTGATTTATAGATGAATTGTTTAGTTGGAGAAGGTGTGATTAACATATTGTCTTTCCTATGAGATATGGTGAACAAAGAGAACATTGAAATTGGTACTCTTGTCTTAATTATCTTAAAAAATTCCATTAGGCAGCGTAGTCTATATAGGTTCTCTACAGCTAGTAATTTATGTTTTGCAAATAGAGGTTTGGTAGA